CAGGCCCATCATGTTTTTCTGGCTTGAGCTGGTGTGTTACGGCGAAAGGCAGTTATACCGGCTATACAGATACAGATAAAGAAAGGATGGTTCTGGATACGCTTGGACTATCCAGAACCGCGCCTTGGTATGGTTCTAGAAACAGAAACGGTTTTGGATACAACAGGTGAGACACCCCTTACCTGGCAGGTGCGACCAGGTAGGCCAGGCCGTACCAGCTGTATATACAGGTGAGCACGTGGTGGTACCAGTGGAGGAACAGCAGCGGCCGCTTTCTCAGGACAATGAAGGAAGTGTCGCCAAACTCTACTATCTGGGGAAACATGATATATGATACATACAGTGACAATGACATGGCAATATGATGCAACACAAACACACAAACACACACACACACACACACGCACACACGCACGCACACACACAAACACACACACCCTCTCTCTCTCTCTTACACACACACACACACACACACACACACACACACGCACACAAGCCCAGGTCCCAGTGCGGAATCGACACAAACACACAAACAAGGCAGCCTAAAACAATACTTCCGAAAACTGACCTTGCTGAAGATGTACAGCGCGGACCAGAGCCCAGTGACGGGCCGGGTGTAGTACTGTTCACACACGGACCGCAGAAAGCCTTGGTGCCGTACGGTGTGCTGCAGTGCCGGGATGTACCGTAAGGCGCCCAGGATACTGGGGGAAATAAAGGGCAGTCTGCGGTCATTGTACCCAGAACCGTGCCTGATTCTATGCCTGAGTGGGTGAAGGGTAGGATCAGACGCGGTTCTGGATAGTGTCCGCGTATCCAAGAAGGCACGGTTCTGAATAGGGCATGGTTATGGATAGTCTTTGCGAGAACTCTTCCGGCTTTAAACATATGTCATATGAAACCTGACCTCTGACCTCCATTCCTTGATTTTCGTGCTTTTGACCTTTGAACGGTTAGGACTTTGAGTATAGGACTATGACTCTGTTTTGACGAATCGGACTTTTATGTTTACTGTATGTTGTCCACTCTTGTCTCACTGTATGTAACAATGTCTTGTGTAATTTTGCTGGGCCTCTGGGAAAACATGTAAGCTGAATGGGGCCACCCAGCCGTGTTATAATGAAATAAATAAATAAATAGACAGATCATGTGAGGCGAAACTTACCTGTTCCTGTTCTCACGACACTGGGGGAATTTGATCCGGTATATGTTATGTTAGGGAACTGCGTCGGTATTTTATGTATGCTACTGTTTGTAGATAAAGGTTGTCGAGAGGGGAATATGTTTAAAGAGGGGTAGATCTTCTAGATAAAGGGGAAGTCTAGTGTTGGCGAAACGTAGCCCTAGGCTAGACATACCTGCTGCCCTTGTCAGGTTTATATATAGCACCTAGGTCTATTTTGTACACGCCTTGTCACTTCTACTGTACAATGCACTTTTCAGTGGTCAGGGATTACAGTCCTTAGTGTAAAATAGCTAAATCATTTGGTTTGTTGGGTAGCCCTGGCTTTGGTTTGGATTTTTTTCTCTTAATGCCTACGATCATGATAATGATCATTCTGAGCGAAGTGAGGAATGTCGTGTACAGTGCCTTTCTTAATGGCACAATTAAGGTCAATGACATTGCAGGATTCGAACCCGGGACCTCTTGGTTCTAAGCCGAATGCTCTGCTGTTAAACGACACGACCCCACGCCTGTGTGTGTTGTCATACAATGTATCGAAATCATAGCCTCTACCAGGCTTCTGGAGGCGGCTGGAAAGAGTAGAAATCGGGCAAATAGAGAGATAACATGCCAAGGGAGTTTGTCTGCTGGGAGAGAACATCTTGCCGCATCCGAAGCCTGGTAGAGGCTATCGAAATCATATGTACTATACCTGAAAATAGTACAGGTTCCACATCACCAGCGGCAGTTTTAAACGGAACGGGTGTAATAGTTTTGTACATTGTTAAGCCACCTTTTATGTTGTGGCAAGCCCTCTGTAATAGCCACTGGCTAGTTGGTCTGCCCTGCTGGCTTTGAGGGTTGAACAGCCGAATAGATAAACAGATAACAAAACATGTCAGCACCATACCTGAAGAGGGCCATGCCCAGGTTCCACATGACCAGCGGCAGCGTTAACCGGAACGGTTCCCGGGCCGCCATGGCCCTCCGCCCGCCGAACACCAGCGCGACGTACGCTGCCGACAGCGGGAAGCACCAGGGCCAGACGGTCCGGAACCAGCGCAGGAAGCCCGCGGCGTCAAACCCGGCCTCAAAATCCGTCAGCGGGAACGGGTAGGGCACGTCCGACTCGTTAAACCACGGCATGGTGCTGCTGAGAAGGTTAGCCGGCGTGTGTTGTGTGGCAAACACGCTCGTATGTTGCGAACACGCTCATGTAGCGAACACGCCTTTCTGTAGCGAATCTGTAGTATCGAACACGCCTTTCTGTAGCGAACACGCCTGTATGTGGCTAACCACGCCTGTATAATTATGTGACAGTCCCGCCAACACGCGGTCAGGCCACACTGACACAACATTGCGTCAGGGTTTGCAGAGCTCTGACGTCATGTCTGGCGCTTTCACTATGGAGACGCGGGAGGGGTTTTCAGCGAGCTGCGCCAAAGCAAACTCCGGCGCCACATGGCTTTGTGTAACAAGGAGCGGGCTCAAACAAACTGACACACTCTGAAGTAAAGACTAAGCTTTTAGCCTCCAACACTAACTACAAAGAAGTGTCCATTCCGTGACGGGTTCATTCCGTGAACAAAGTTGATGGAGTCAACCGAAAATTTGGGGTAAGTCCCAATTCTTTGTAGTTAGTGTTGGACGTTTAAGCTTAGTCTTTATTTCATAATAACTTGTACCAACACAGATGAACTTTCATGCTAAACTGACACACTGTTGTTATAACCGCCTTCGTAAAAGGCAGCTTTCTCGTGTCTCAAAATAACATACTTTGTACTGGTTTATTCTGCTTCATCCAGGATACTGAAAGACCCCATACACCCCCTAACGAGTGCGGACAAAAGTCGCCTGACGGCGCGCTGAAGGTCGTCCTGCCCTTTTGACACGTTTTACAGGTCAGGTCACGCCGACTGTTCATCACGCCCCCTTCACGTGAAGAACCGGCGCCAGCGCGTGCCGGGGTATGGACACTTCACCTGTCAGGGGAACCAAGGACGTTCTAAGGTCTCTCTGTGCAGACGTCGTAAAAACTTAAGAAAACGAGCAACATATTCAAGCCTGTCTACAGGGAGCACTTAAGAGACTTAAGCAGCCAAGATGCATACTATTACATGTACTTTTGATAAGAAGTCATAGGGGAATATGTGTTGGATAGGCAATACCCCTCCAGTGCCAGTGCAATTAGATGCTTTTTTGGCAATGGCAACATCATTTAAAGACCTTTAAGCAGTGAGCACAATGGTCGGTGATAGAACGTCCTTGGTTAACGTGAGCATTAGAATAGAGGTTGTTTTGCCATTCCTCCAGCCGTGCTTGGCTTAGAATGTAAAGACACAGACACGTGTGGTATGTCGTTGTACGATTTTGATGTTCTAGGTTCTAGTGTCAGAACTAACCAACGAAGGGATCTGACACAGCCTTATCAGTAGGAAAATTTATATTTTGACCTGATATTATGGAAAGAATCATTGCTACAAAGGGACATAATGTAGGGCATTGTTCGTGTCGACCTCCTTCAGCGCTACACGGGCACCAAAACATCGCACGAACTTTGTAGCCAAGGCAAAGTCCAAGAGTTAACTGTATCTAAAAGCGCCAAAGTAGTGCAGTGGCCGCCGTGGACATTGGAGTTTGGAGCTTTTGTTTATGTTTGGCAGTTCGACCTAAATGTACAAGGCCACACCAAGTGATTCTTATGGATGACGTCCTCTGGAGTCCTCTAAATCTAATGCGAGAGTGCGAGAACAAAACAAGAAGGCAGCAGAAAAAAACAAGATGCCAAGATTTGGAGTAGACCAACCGACGACAAATGTTAGGGCACAAATTGGATGAGATCTGGAGAACACAGCGTAACAACCAACAAGTCTTTTGTTCAGGAACAGGAGTTGCCGTTCTGCCCTTTTTCCTCCCTTTCATCACATGTTCCCATCTAGCGATTTGTAACACTTTCATGACTTTTTGGTCATAGTTACAGGAAGCGGACTTTCTGGGGTTTTTTTCTGGGAACAGGCCGAAATCAATGCGCGAGCGGACGTCATCCATAAAATTTACTTGGTGTGGCCCAATAACAAGTGCCACACGGTGCCAGAAGCGGGGTACATACCGATCTGAAGAGTTGTACGGTACTATAAATAGATCTCCGCAAACATGAACTTTGATCACCATGCAGTGTATGGCGGCATGCACGTGTTTCAAGCCCCGAATTCCCACCTCAATCAGTCTTAACTCTATCTAACCGTGGGCTTGGGGTGGTGGTGGCTAAAAGTACCCGCGTCAACTTTGATGTCGGATAACGTCCGAACGGTTTGCGCTAGAACCACCAAACTTGGTGACTTTTCCTAAAATATTGAATCAATGGAATAAAATAGTCCTTTGCCGTGGCAACGGGTTAATACACTCTAATATTCTATTATAAATATGTTGTATACCATTAAGTTTCCATGGGATAACGTATCTAGACGGTTTTGGCCAATATATTGACGTCATAATTACGTCATATTACGTCATAAAGACATCAAAGTTATTGTTATGATTTTTTTACTAGTACACCATCCCCTGAAAATTTTGTGGTCAAGCGATATACTGTAGCTCACAGAGCGTGTATAAAGTCTCCACCAGACTCCTTTTGCAGGCTGAATAAATCGTAGAAATCGGTATAAAAAGGGTATTAATTGGCGAGAGAAGGTAGCCGGCCATCGAGGATCAAATCGACTTGCACCTTCTCTGGCCAATTAATACCCCTTTTAAGTCCGATTTCTACGATGTATTCAGCCTGCAAAAGGAGTCTGGTGGAGATTACGAGACCTGGTGTTGACAGCCAACTTTTGAAAGAAAATTGTACTACAGCCTTCTCAAAACCCATTCAACACCAAACCTTAGGACGGAGAGTGTCTACAATAGTCTGTAGATTATCGAACGTGGCAGTAAACACGTGGTCAATAACAGGCATGCTGGCCATGTTGTTCAGAGTTTCAATCCCGACGCTAGCAACACCCACACAGAAAATTGTGGTGCCGTCGTTCCTCAGTGTTTGCGAGTCCGATATCACAGCGCTGCTCGAACTGTCGTAGCCGTCGGTAAGGACGATCCCGATCTTCCTCGCTGTTAGCCGTCCGGAAGTTGAGAATTCGTTACGCATGACGGACAAACCCGCGACAGAGGGCTCTCGGCTGCCGTGACTGTTAAACATGGTGCTGATCATAGACACCAAAGTAGGCTTGCTGCCAGTGAGAGAAATGTACCTCTCGGCACTGCTACCTGCAAATTTGATCAGCCCAACTCTCGCGTGATTTCCACCGATGGTTAGAGAATTTACTACACCATTGATGAAGTTCTGGACTGTGTTGAAGTGACTCGATACGCTGCCGGAAACGTCGATCGAAAAGATGATGTCAGCTGCGCTGTCACAGGCTAGAGAATAAACAAATAGCAGGTGTCTGTTAAAGAAATCTAACAACATTGTCTTTCATCTTATCTGTATTCCTTACGTCCTGGGATTTTACCATACTTCTGTCGGTCATATCTAAAGACATGGTACACATAGTATTCAGTACGAGTTGGTAAATGAGTGAATGAATACTGGAATGAAGTGAATGAATGGATGAATAAATGATGGAGTAGAGGAATGAATGTATTTTCTGCATATTACAAGCACATAAAAAAATAAAATTTATTTCGTTCTTTGTTGTCTCGACCTTGCAATATAAAACAAGTACCTGCGCAGATGGGGACCGTGCCTGTCCACTGTCCGTCCGACCCGCACACGACCTGTGATGACCCCAGCAGGTGGTAACCATGGTTACAGCTGAAGGTGCACCTGTCGTTCTCTAGTCGGTCAGTACAGTCCACCCTGCCGTTCTGAGGGCTGGTAAGGACCGGACACTCCACTGAAATTAGAAATAAGTAAACATTGGAATTCAACAGAATTCAAATATGCATATAAGTGTTATAAACGGGCATTTTGGCAGCTCAGCAAGAGGGATTTTGCTTTTGACTGTATGTTTCTGCATTTGATGCTTAATGGTTTCATACCCCCTTTCCTTACTTGATGGTTATGTAGGTGCCAAAAAGGTGTTACATAATTACCTATACACCCTGCAGCGCTCCCAGTCCACGTGCTATCAGCCTGGCAGGTCCGACTGCTGCTTCCTGACAGCCGGTAGCCGCTGTTACAGGCGAAGCTGCAAGTCTCGGGGTAGCGGAAGGAGGATCCGTTGTTACAGATCATTCCTCCATTGGTTGGAATGGGCAGGGGTGGGCATTGTACAACTGAAATAGAAAGGTAACAACTGAAAGGAAAATGCATCCACGTGCATTAGCCTAATTTCTGTTCTGTTTACTCTGACTCACTCAATCAAATTCATACATTTGGTGACCAGCCAGTCTCTCTCAAAAAAGGGAGACACGTACCTGCGCAGATGGGGATCGTGCCTATCCACTGTCCGTCCGACCCGCAGACGACCTGAGATGACCCCAGCAGGTGGTAACCATGGTAACAGCTGAAGGTGCACCTGTCATTTACCAGTCGGTCAGTACAGGTCACCCTGCCGTTCTGGGGGCTGGTAAGGACCGGGCACTCCACTGAAAGCACACATAAGTAAACATTCATATTCACCAGAATTCAAATATGCATATAAGTGTAACAGTTATAAACGGGCATTTCAGCAAGAGGGATTTTGCTTTTGACTGCTTTTGATGCTTAATGGTGTCATACCCCCTTTCCTTACTTGATGGTTATGTAGGTGCCAAATAGGTGTTACATAATTACCTATACACCCTGCAGCGCTCCCAGTCCAAGTACTATCAGCCTGGCAGGTCCGACTGCTGCTTCCTGACAGCCGGTAGCCGCTGTTACAGGCGAAGCTGCAAGTCTCGGGGTAGCGGAAGGAGGAACCGTTGTTACAGGACATTAATCCATTGGTTGGAGTGGGCAGGGACGGGCATTGTACACCTGGAAGAGAAAGGTAACAATTGGAAGCAAAATGTATAATGTTTACTTTCACAATCATGCTCTAGCCCAACAAACTACTGCTCTGTTTATTCTTACTCAACCACATTCATGTATATGGTGACCAGCCCTTCAAACCCTGCAACTTGCTACATAACCCAACACAACAGGGTGTCTGCTACAGCACCAGTTGCCATAGTGACGGAGGTCATTGATCTTATGTGTTTGAAGAGGGGGACGAAGAAACAATATAATTATGTGTAGGTAAACACAAAACCGTTGCTACACCGTGCCCGGCCGTTACAAACATCCATCCAATGCCAATATGTAAAATTAAGGCAATGTTAATTACTCTTACCGATGCACACGGCGTCGTTTCCAGACCAGGTTGCATCAGTCTGACAGCGTCTCTCGCGGCTGCTTGTGGGAGTCGTCAGCTCGTAGCCTCGGTCGCAGGCGAAGTTGCAGACCTCCGGATAGCGGAATTCGGAGCCACTATTGCAGGTCATTGTACCATGGAAAGGACTGGCCATGTCTGGACATTTTACAGCTGAAACAAAATGTCAATATATTAATGCTTTGGGGCATTTCAAAGTGGCGAATGACAGAATAATTATCAAGACCACTTGGGCCACCATTATTCCAGGTCCTGAAAAAATAACGGTGTAGAAAATTGATTCATAAACTGAATCTAATCCCTTTTCTAGTCTTTTTTTACCAAGGTACTGCTGATTCCAACCAGCAACGCCTAAGGTTTAGAAACAGTAGAGATGCAACATTCAGCTGTACCTAAACACGGCGTGATCCCTGGCCTGTTTATGTCGACAGGAATAGTCCAGCTCCCGTCGTGTCCACAGGAGTACTCGGCATAGATCAGCCTGTCGTAACCAGGGTTACAGTGGAGCAGACAGACGACCTCGTACTCCGCGGAGGTGTTGTTGGCATACTCTGCCGAGGATCCTGGGATAGAACACCTGAAGAAGCCGTTTGCTGGTTCGGAGATCTGGAAAAGTGGAAAAAACGACATTCAGTTGGTGATTAGGTAACAAAATGCTTCCTATCAAAACTTCCTTTTGGCCCGTTGGCTTAAGTTACATTTTGGTCATCACCAGCCTTATTCGCTTTTGTCGTCTTTAGCTGAATTATCGTAGGCACTGCACTCGGTGTATATCATAGTGTTTGGAATTAGTTTTTGGTGATTTTTTCCCTTTCTTTTCCAAGAATGAAGCCTTTGCCTTTTTGACAGCATTCTGTTTGTTGGTTAGGTCTGACTGTATGCCTTAGTCAAACCGACCAAATATAACCGATGGTGATGATGATGATGATGATGATACTACAGATCGTTCTGGTCATCTCCAGACTCGAGTCTTTGAAACTCTGTCCGACTTTTTGTCATTTTAGGAGCGGTGGTGGGGCTGGGTGGATCTAGCAACAGAATCGAACTGACCGGGAAAGGCGGACAGGCGGTCCGTTCACAGCGTCTCCCGTCCCCGACCGTCCCGACCCGGCAGCGGCAGCTGAAGGTCTGGTGGCCCGTCAGGTCGCAGATCCCGTGCTCAGGGTCGCAGTCGTGCAGGCCGAGTCGGCAGTAGTTAGACGGGACACATCTGCACAAGGGTTCAGAAACGATATTTCTTTATGACCAACCAAATCCATAGTTCCCGAAAACACAACGTTAATATTACGTATATAGCCGGACCATACACTAATTTGAAAAAAAAAAATTAAATTGCAGAAGGGCTCAATTTGGTAACATGACATGTAAAGAAAGCAGAAAAGGGAAACATGGCCTTACCTCGGCTTATTGTTCCATTCTCCACTAGCCAGACACCTGAAGTTGTACAGACTGTGAAGAATATGGCCGCCCTCGTAGCCAACTTTGTAGCCGGGCTCACAGGTCAGGCGGCAGGAGTCCTGGTACCTGGTACCGCTGCACGTCAGGCTGCCGTTGGCAGGGCTCTGGGTGGTAAAGCAAAAATGGATCTGCCGTTTTTTTTAAGTGACGTTATGTAGATGATAAGGAAATAAATGCTGCCTAAATGTTATTACATTTGAGGATGCTTACGGAATTAAAGGACAAGACAATGGCCTGGATAATTATGTACAGTACATATTATATTTAGCAGTTTGTGCCACAGATTTTATTTTACAAAACATACAAGATACGTACAGTAAGGTTGCCGCAGTCCTTCTTCTGACAGAACAGATCTGGTCCACCAACAACTGGCTGGAGCGCTACAGTTAAAAAAAGGAACTCAGTTTGAGATATTGTCAGTTCTGCTACAATCCTGTGTGTGGCGTGATTGCATGAACACCATGGTTTGAATTTGCGACAAGTTTTTGGGCAAGAAAGGTCGCTGGAAAAGCAGCAGAAGTTCGTACCTCCCTCCTGCAGGCTCCAGTTGCCGCTGCTATGACAAGCTACGCTCCGGTGGTTCGTTCCTTCGTACCCGTCCGCACAGGTGACTCCGCAGGTGTTCCCGTAGGTGTGTCCGCTGGCGCACTGTAGGGCGGTGTTAGGGAACTCAGGAGGGGAGCCGCAACTCACTGGTAATAAAAATACATGAATCCTTTGTCAATATCTTTAAGCAATGTCTCAAATACTGTGCATCTACGTCGTTCAAATAAGTACCATATCAGTGTGGCATTTCATCAAGATATGCCACATTACCTGGTGTGCACTCCGGCTCCCCACTCCAGGTTGCTTGGGCTGTGACTTGGTACACCTGACAGGTGAAGTTGTCGTGTCCCAGCCGTTCGTAGCCGTTCTGACAGGTGAGATGACACGTCTCGCCGTACGTCGTACCTGTACAGGTGACGTCACCGTGTGCGGGTGTCTGTGTAAGGAGGAAGACCTTAGACTGTTAGACTTCGGGGCGAAATGAACACATGCATTGCCCATACTGATTTGTAATCACGGATAACAATTGTCATTCTCTTTTGCCGAGCGTTGCAATTTTTCATTCCTAAGTCTGCTTGGTAATGGGGCTTATGCAGAAGAATATGTTTGGCAAATGTAGTGCATGTAACTAACATGTATGGTAAAAACCGCTCACCGAGATGTTTCCACAGTCAGCGATGGCACAGGCCAGAGTCTGTGGGATAACAACGTCTGCAAAGAAGATGGAAGGTCGATTTTAATGCATTTCACTGGAGTATACACGGCAAACACAATAATGTTGAGCCCTTATTTCTCTATATTCAACAATACGTTCCTTAGTCATTTTATTAATTCTTACTTTGATCCAACCCCTGATACGAACAATAGATTTGTAATTTTCCCCACCTGCTGACACAGCATTTTCCATCTCTGTCGTGTTCCCTCTGCGGAAGGCGGTCCAGTTTCCGGTCCAGCTGCAGCCCAGGGCGTGGTCCGTTTCCGGTACGTACCCTGCATTACAGGTGACGTCACAGCGGTCCGAGAACACGTGACCAGGGCACAGGTACGAGCCGTGCGGGGGGTCCTCAGGTGGGCTGCAGGTTACTGTGTGATGACCAATATATGATGATATGAATAACAATTCGGCAAAATTTTGTACACAGAATGTAGTGTTTTATTGTGTTGGCCTAAAGTTGTCCTGACTATAATGCCAAACCGTATGTTGTTTTGATTAAAATAGCATTATGTTTTAAAAAATCATATTTGGTGATACCGTTTGTCAAGATCGAGCTACAAGAAAGGGCAAAGTGTCTAAAAAGCCTGAGGTACCGGCTTCTTCCTAACTTCGTGTACATGAAAGCCAAAACAACACCCTACCAGGGTCGCACTGTGCAGGTTTGTCCCAGTGTCCTGTAGCGTTACACGTCAGTACAGGGTGCCGGGGAAGGTAGCCTCGCTCACAGACCACTCGGGCTTCAGACATGTAGGTGGTCGCAGTGCTGTTGACTCGGCCATGAGCTAAGTTCTATGATAACAACAAATTTAAGTTGTGTTATTCATTACGAAGACGGAAATATAAAATTGGTGGGTCTATTCTGGTCCAGGTAAGCGTGACTTTAAAACTAGACTTTAAATACTTAAGTTTCTGTTCATGGTAATATGGACTACACAAGAAACGGGACAGTAAGTTTTATACTTACATTTAATCATTATTATCAATAATTTGGTGTATGTTTGTATTTTCTGTCTAGATAAGATGTTTGAAACAAGTACCCCAAAGTCTCCTCCACAGTCCACGATTCTGCATACCGGTCGTCTGGACGCCCCAAACGTCTCTGCAAACAGAAAGACAGAATTGTGGTTTTCTCTTGATCGCTATTTTTTATTTGTATTATATGGCTTTTTGCATAACTTATTTGTGTACACAATATATTCTATGTGCTGCCCTATATTGTTAAATAATGGTAACAGGTTCTTGTGGAATTTGATTTTTGAGGTTTCAAAAAAAGGGAGATGCTTCACGATCATATTTCATTTTTCATATTTGAATTATTTTGAGTATGATATTCAGAGCCTTGTTTTGTATCGCCGAACTCTCCTTACCTAGGCGAGACAGAATATGCAGGAAGTCCAGGTTGGCCACCTTGTCGTCTAGAGTTGGGCCAATCCAAATCAACACCTGCCGCATCATGTTGAAGTCGATGATGTTGTCCTCTGAGATCATGTTTAAATATGTCTTTATGATAGACAGATTTGGGACGTCATCAACCTTCACTAAAATGTTAAACGCCACGTCCGCGTAGATTTGGTCGGAGATGCCGAGGTACTCGAACACCCGAGGGTCGGTGTTCGGCATCGTGTCGGCAGCCCGACCGACGCCGACGAGTGTCGACACGACTTCGGGCGCGATCGGCGCCCATCGGCCGCGGTTGCAGAACAGCAGGCCCGCGTCATCGGTCTGGTAGCCCACGTCACACTTGGCGATGCACATGCGCACGTAGATGTTGTGGTGGGCGATACTGGTGTAGTTGAAGTGGCCATGGGGCAAGTCGGGCAGAGACGTGTTTCCGCAAACTGAAAAGGAGAAACCAAAACATTCAGAATTCAAAAGTCAGTAAGTTCCTATTAAGGAAAACATATTGTTATTGCTCTGTATCTTCCTCTTCTTCTCCAAACAAATAAAGTCAATGACCAGGACCAGACGTCTGTCACCATGGTAACTGGTGCTGTAGCAGGCACCCGGTGGAGCTGGGGTACATTTTGTTTGGAGCTGGACAGAGCTGGAGACGCCGATCTCCATATGCATGTATATGGATGTGTTTGAGTAAGACTAAATAGAGCAGCAGCTAGCCAGACTAGACAATGTGAAAGTGAGCATTATGCACTTTTCAATTCAACCTATCAATCCCGTAGTCCCCTCCAGTAAAACAACCGTGATGAGGGAAGGGGATATAAACTCTGTCACGTTTGGGACTGTATTCTTCACATCGTAGTAGCGACACCTAGCGGCACTGCGAAGAACTTTTGAACCAAAGACTCACATTCCTGTACAGCCACAGGAGTCTCCACGGTCGGTTGCGGCACGTATCCAGGCGGCAGTATCGCTGATGTGTCCCCTCCGGCGGCCTGGAGCGCCAACTGGTACCACCTCTGCATCTCCGGGGAAAACTGCTGCATCCACACAGGCACCGGCTCCGCAGGAGTCATGTAGGCTGTTGAACCAGTGAAAAGATGCAAGAAATTTGAAGGTTTCAATTAGACAATACCTTCTGCAGTCTAAATGAAAACTGGCACTAGCTAGTTCCATCACAAAGTGATCAAATGAAATCTAAGGAATTAGGTGATGGAAAAAACAAGCTAACCTGGCATGACTTTGATCTTAAAGAAGACAGCGAACACCACGGCTGTCAGGACGGCCAGGCAGTAGAAGATGGCGGCGAGGATGAGCAGCGTGTCCGGCCGCTTCCTGGGCGGCGGGTTAAGGGAAGAGCCATACCCGTACAGCGGCGGGCCGTACGGCCTCCACACGGCGCCGGGCTTCACCTGCTTCCCGCCGAACAGGGAGTCACAGCTCGGCTGCCTTTTTAGCGGGACCTGTGAGAGGGCCAGAACAGAAGTTTTGTCCGGGGATGCCGTCTAAATCTTTTGTCGTGTTGGTCTGTTCGATACTACAAATCTTGTACCCCTACATAAATTGTACATTTGTAGTACCTTTTTCTCTCCTGAATCCACAGTTGCACTGTGTTCGTTTCCTTGCGACCCTTCTTCTTCAAACGGTGAATGTTTCTCTTCAACGGTGACGCACCTTGAAATAGACACACAATCAAAAGTGCTTTTTGGCAAAATGGTGATCAATCAATCAATCAATCAATCAATCAATCAATCAATCGATCAACAACAACAACAACAATGAACTGTAAACAGAGTTATCTAGTAGACATACATCTATCCTAGAATGCCAAACGTTGAAGGCTTTGCAGATTTGTAAACCTGTTACGTACTGATCATCATCGCGGTCCTGATGCTGGGCAGTGTCTCTGATGATGTCCTCATCCTCACTTCCTTTGACGATGTCTGGAGTTGCACCCGTCTAGGATTTTGAATAGACAATACAAAAAGTCTGATCCTAAAGTCAGTACATGATAATGTGGGCCATACTCGATAACACACGGTGCATGTACTATTCTACCCTGTGACTCGTCCTGTCTTTGTTTAATTCGTAATTGAAAACATGCAAAGCCAAAGGCAGAGAGAGAGAGAGAGACAGACAGACAGACAGACAGACAGAAAGACAGAAAGACAGACAGAGAGAAAGACAGAAAGAAAGACAAACAGACAGACAGACAAGCAGACAGACAGAAAAGCCCAAAGTGATGCTTCACATCTCTGCAGTGAAGTCAAAATTAACACGCCCAACACGTACCTTGACCTCCTGTCTGTCCTCCGGTATTTTGAAGTCTCGCCACATAAAGGACCTTTCAGCACGTGTGCTCCTGATCTGGGGAGTAAAGTACTAACATTTAAATTGAAAATATAAATAAGTAGTAAATAAAATCAGTTTCTAAAGTTAAGTACCAACAACAAAGTCAAAAAGGTTTGGCTTGAAATTGTTACCGGAACTTGACCGATGTCCTCTGCCGGTATTGTGTCCACAGTCTTTTGTTTTGGCTTTTGCCGTCTGCTCCAGGTCCGCCCGGTTAAATCACCCCGAGGCTGCAGGTGGTCGCACCGGGTCGTCCAGGCTGTTTTAGTCGGGCCGTGAGTCGACCTGCCCCGGGGGAGCTGCTTGGGGCTGCCCGGTGATGACGACATGTCTCTGATGTGAACCAATACAGCTGTTTGTAAACACTGTCACAGCTTCAGTTAAGGACGTCCCTCGGACGTTAAATGGAGGTCCCGTGTTTGGGGACAGCCACACCCCACGCACGTTAAAGAACCCACCGCACATATCGAAAAGAGTAGGGGACCTTCCCGGTGTGAGTGGTTCAAACCTTACAGTCCGGTCTTACGCAGCTTGTACTTACTGCACAAAACTTGTGTGATACACCTAAAGGCCATATACCGGTTATGCAAAACAAACAAAAACATTCCGCCCGACATTGGTCAGCCCAGAGCTTTCTGCATTTTCTTTTATGGGAGCCGTATACGTCATAGTTATAATAGGAAAGTTCTGGATATGCCCGGGCTATCCAGAATTGGGAACCGTGCCCTCGGCATGGTTCTGGACAAAACACGTTTCTGGATACTCAGGGTTCTGGATAAAACACGGTTCTGGACACTACACGTACCTCTCAGTGTATTTCACTGGGCTAAACTCCCGAGAAAAAGTAAACAGACACTCACCTGTGCTGCACACTTGTTCACACCTGGGAAAGCCGTCTGCAGGTGTTGTTAAACGCTCCTGGTTAATGTTCAACTCGCGGACGTCGCGGGTCGTGTGGATAAGGAAATGCTGTGAGGGACGGTTTAGATTCTTCCCCCGTCAAGTCTACCTATTTGTCATGGTCTAAATATAGCCCCGTGACGTCTGTGCTTCGTGACAGCCAAGAGCGATGTGATAACACACCTCTTTGTGTCGGGTCATGCTCTAATGCGTCTTGTGTTTCTTTTTATTATTCCAACATGTAATCACCAGACGTGGTGACGGCACACTCAAGTTTTTTCAACTTATATTAATGCCGCCACCAGCACAGGGGACAATACAATACTCATTTTCACCTGTGCGGAGTGAGGAAAGTCGTATAAAGTGCCTTTCCCAAGGGCACAAGATCGGTGGTATGTCAGGACTCGAACCCGGGACCTCTTGATTCCGAGAAGAGCAGCTGCCGCTACGCCACGCGACCACACTTGTGTCTTGAGTTTTTGAAAGACCTTTATTATGCACTCATGCTTTTACAATCCGGTTCTATCTACAATAACAGTGATGCAATTCAGGTATCTTAATTTATTACATCTACAGAAGATCAGTTATGTACAGATTCACCGTCAAGATTAACCATGATCAGTTCCACCACCATTGTTTACGCCAGTTGCCAGGTACAACAAAGAGAAACAAAGGGGATAGTGAGAGGCCATGGTCCTGCATGAATGGTCTAGATTTAACTTTATTTACAGACGCACCTGTTCTTTGTATACCGGATGTCACACAACACCTGCTTTTCATAGCTTAAACAATAGCAAGTACTCACTGGATCACGCCGGGAGCCACAAGGGGAAATAGCGAAGGAAACAAAATCTTTCAAGTCTGAAGGATTTATTCTCCAAGCAGAGGTTGGGGGGAATGATCGATACATTTTTATATATGGCCGTTTTTCTTTTGTCCTGACCCCCACCGTCGGTGGCCGCGGAGCTTCTCTGGCTAATGAATACTGCCTGGCCAATTTGATACTGTCTTTTTGCCACCGAGAGGGATCTGCTTGGAGATTAGAAGGAACTACGATGTACAAGTGCAATGTAGAGCACAGACTGTGTATATAGTCTCCACCAGACTTCTTTTGCAGGCTGAATAAATCGTAGAAATCGGTCTAAAGAGGGTATATAATTGGCCAGAGAATGTAGCCGGCCATCGAGGATCCAATCGGCCTGCACGATGGCCGGCTACCTTCTCTGGTCAGTTATATACCCTTTTAGGCCGATTTCTACGATTTATTCAGCCTGCGAAAGGAGTCTGTTGGAGACTACGTGTATACATGTAGCAGGTTACACATGAGAACAACCCTGGCACAGAGCTAGGAGTACTCAATCACGGACCTACCGGGGTCGTGGCGTCAGATAGACAAAAACAATTCTTCAGCATTTGAGGTGCAAGACACATGACAATCGGCTTAGGAAAGCTGCACTACTCTGTAGCTTATTAACACACTGTTCGAGTCAAGATATAAAAATGAGGTTTTGTAATAGTCAATCCCCTAGGAATTTTACAGTCTTGTCACGTCAAAAGATGTATCCCGCGCTGACGTCAGGCTTGTTTTTATGTCCGATGAGGTCCCATACCGGAGTTACGGGTGCCTCTATCGCTGCCACAGGTATCATACCGGAGTTACGGGTGCCTCTATCGCTGCCACAGGTATCATACCGGAGTTACGGGTGCCTCTATCACTGCCACAGGTCTCATACCGGAGTTACGGGTGCCTCTATCGCTGCCACAGGTCTCATACCGGAGTTACGGGTGCCTCTATCGCTGCCACAGGTGCGTTGGAGTAGAAAAAGCCCTGAAGAAAAATAATATCTCAGTAACTACGACATTCAACTCAGAAAAGTTGAACACACTGGCCGACAGACTTGAACAAATCAAATATGACTCCTTTTTTTGGCCATGACGAATATCACGGTATCCTCCCTGATGAGGGTCCAAATAGGTAAAAAATGCAAAAAGTCGTAAAACCTCGTGTCCATCAATAACAATATCTGTTCCGGTTATAATTAGAAGCTCCATTGCTCATCGTAAAGCTCGTCGAAGGCTGGCATAATGGTTTGCTTAAAGGTAAACACGTTCAGAAACAGAAATATCTCACGTTTGGATCCGCCTGCAGTAGTTTCCTGACAGTTGTGGCGTCCGGCCTGGTCTTCTCGTTAAACTTCCAGCACTTCAGCATCAGCTGGTATCTGGCGGAAAATCATCATTCTGTTAATTGTTACTTACAGCCAAATCCTTGCTCTTTGTCACGTACTCTAACGATCAATGCACGTTTGACAATTCACACTTTCCAGAATATGGAACCCTGGTATCCAAACTAATTTTAGCTGCCGTAGCTCTTTTCTCTTCAACGCAACGAAACAGACTCGGCAGCTATGGTTGTATGTTAGGCCAGAAAACTGACATCAGAGCTTGGTCAAAGGTACCCAGAAGTCAACACCATCAGGCGACAAAATTTACCCTATCTAGTTCTACCGACACAGATGAGCTTTTAATCTTGTATGGAGAGTCTGCCACTAAAAAAAAAGACATATCAGACTTACCTTTCTTCTGTACAGAGCTGAGGCCTGGGGAGTCTGAAGTGGTTTTGCAGAGCATCATATATTCTGTCTGCCCCCTCCATCCCAGGGTACGGCGTGCGGCCCAGCTGCGCCACTTCCCACAACAGAACCCCGAAGGACCAGCTAGAAATGCATATTTCATAGTGTTTAGTATGGGAAAGAGTTCACAGTATTGAGAGGACTATGTATGTTTGTTAGTGTCTTCTTTTAAAGGCAATGATAAAAACTCACACGTCACTCTTGTGAGTGAACCTAGCCTCGTTCTTCAGGCCCTCCGGCGCCATCCACTTCAGCGGCAGCAGATCGCGGCCCTGGAGAGATAAGAGAGAACAGCTTCTTCAATTTGTGTATCAAAGCCGGCTGTGACAAGACTATAGGATCTGTAGATGACTGGAATCCGCTTCTGTTTTAAACTACCGTGTCCTGCCGATGGTACCCCACAGCGTACATGTCCCGGGACCTACCCTGTCCTGCCGATGGTACCCCACAGCGTACATGTCCCGGGACCTACCCTGTCCTGCCGATGGTACCCCACAGCGTACATGTCCCGGGACCTACCCTGTCGTGCCGATGGTACCCCACAGCGTACATGTCCCGGGCCAGCCCGAAGTCCGCGATCTTGGCGGTTCCCTTCCCACAGATCAGAATGTTCCGGGCCGCGATGTCTCGGTGAACCAGCTAGACATATAGGCGAGGATAAGCAATTCAGTTACGACATATGTTTGTCAGCATTTGGTTATGATTACTTTTACAAGACGGTAGAATACAGTGGTAAAAATCGCCTAAAGTCTTGCATGCCTTAAGCTGAGATTTGAAGGAAGAGATTGTGTAACAGTTTTTAAAGATTTTCTTACCTTCCTGGTCGCCAGGTGCTCCAGTCCGCAGCAGACCTCCACCATCATGTTCTCGAAGATGTGCCGTTTGTTGACCAGAACGGTCCTGTTGAGTTTGGACTCCGCACGTAACGTCCACAGCAGGTGAAGGAGACTCCCGTGTTCGGCATATTCCAGAACCAGTTGGAGCGGGCCTGGAATAAAATATCTTAGTATGGCTGTTCATCTACACGTTACAATATCTTCAAATTAAAATCAAATGCTCTGAACAAATCCAGTGGCAAATGAATGGGCCACAAAGATTCTAAACTGACCGTCTCTAAAACAGATGCCTTTCAGACCGAGGACGTTGTCATGGTTACCGCACAACAACATGATGCAGGTTTCCCGCAGAAGGTCTTGCCTGGCCTGGGGATCATCATCGTCTGGAGAAACATCATAGAGGTTTACATCATATTGTCACGTCTTACATGTATCTATAACATAGGAAAGTATGAGCTCAGTAAGTTACAACTATAACCTTAACAATAAATGCACCTTTGAGTTTCTTGACAGCCACCACCACATCTTCTTCCTCAGGATGCGTCATCGTTGCCTTGACGACATGTCCAAAAGCGCCCTCTCCCAGGAGTTGTTTGAGCTGCAGCCTGCTCCTGTCGATCTCCCTTTCCTTCAGCAGCTCCATGTCGATACTGCCTGACGAGGAGCCTGCCCCAGGTGGCATCAGGGCCTAGGGAGAGGGGGGGGGGGGTCAGTCTGAGATATTCAGGTCTACTAGCAAGACATTTTGGATATCAAATTGTGTTATCTCCTACGTCATAGTGAGACTGACGTAATCATGACGTACCTTGAGGTCCTGTCCGAGCTGGAAGACTTCCGGATCGTCGATGTTTCCGACCCGCAGCCTGTTGTTGTGCCTGTAGAGCAGGAAGATGGCGCCGAGTAGGAGGAGAATCAGCGTGCCTGCCGATAGACTGACGGCCAAGAGGACGGTCTGGGAGACTGGAGGGTCTAAAGCAAGTAGCTATCTTTAATTTTCAGCTGAAATACCTAGGTATCAACTTTGTATTGGTTAAGGGGTCAGGTATCAATTCATCTATTTCTTCAGCCTGTTAAAATGCACCACCACTCTCTGTCGTCCTCCCACTCGTTGGATTCTACAGGTAACATGAGAGAGTCGCTTTACATTTTCGTCAAGAAAGTAGTGTACAAAACAACTCACCCGAACACCCGTCACCAGAGCAGACGCAGCCCAGGGTCCGGTTGCAGGTCTCCTGGTCTGTACAGTTGCAGACCTGGTCACACAGCTCGCCCCAATAATTATCCTGGCAACCTGAAACAATCGAAAAAAATGTTCTACTACGGACTTTCCGGATTACAGCAGTATGAAGGCAAAACTGGTTGTGTACTGAGTATTGGGAATCGCAGACAAACAGTAACAGTACCTGCTATTCGTATGTCCACCACGTCTGTGTACTGATCTCCACCTGCACTGGTTGCCTCACAGGTCACGTGACCTTCGTACTCAGGCAGCAGAGAGTTGATGAAGAGACCAAAAGAGCTGAGTACGAAGGAAAATAAGTTAGAAGATTCAAACCTACGGAGAGGCTTTTTGACATTGATAGAAAGCATCAATATGCATAGCTAGCTAACCTTTCAATCGCTCAATCTTACAAATGTTTCAAGACTTAAGGTTGTCTTCCAGGAGGCTAGCAAGCGATTTGCTAGATTAAAGGTTGCAGTAGGTCGAATGGCATGAAAGAAACCTGACTTGTTATCACTTGTTTCGGCCAACAACTTTGGGTTGACAGGGGCGCCGTCGAGGAGCCAGTTGAAGTTGTTGACACGGAAATTGTAAGCAGTGCAGTTGAGCTGCAGTTCCTGTCCGAACCGCAAGTCGTTCAGCTCAATGGTAGAAGGACTGATGCGCACTTCTGGGTGAACTGTGGAAAATACGATACAACTCGTTAGTAATTGTGTTCTATACAGTCAGCATCCAATAGGCCAAATAGCGTTGCTTGGAAGATTAAATACTGTCTTGCCATCTTAGGATCTGCTTGGAGATTTATTAGCTTCTGGCACAGGGGGGGAAATGATACTATCCCATCATCCTTTGCAATACACATCCCACAACACGTGTCCCAGATGGCTGACTGTCAGCACCAGGCATATAGTCTTGTCATGTTTCATTTAAAAGTGCAGCAATGGCAACAATTTGACCAGTAATTTTGGTTCTTTGAATAATCAAAGGACTCAAGTAGTGTATGAGGCTATCTGACTTTTGTACCTTATGTACAACTTCTTACATTGTGTCTTAAACATTTATGCAAACATTTGCTTCAAAAATGGTGCTCAAACTTCACCAAACTAAAGTGCTTTTCTACAAACTCTGTTGATTGGTGATGTTATACATCTTGTGCATCAGAAAACCCCAAATGCACCAAAAAGCACCCATGGGAAACGGAAGAAAATTGCATTTGTTGATGATTATTACATAAATAATATCAAATATAATATTTTCTTCCGTTTCCCATGGGTGCTTTTTGGTGCATTTGGGGTTTTCTGATGCACAAAATGTATAATATCACCAATCAACAGAGTTTGTAGAAAAGCACTTTAGTTTGGTGAAGTTTGAGCACCATTTTTAAAGCAAATGTTTGCATAAATGTTTAAGACACAATGTAAGAAGTTGTACATAAGGTACAAAAGTCAGATAGCCTCATACGTATACACTACTTGAGTCCTTTGATAATTCAAAGAACCAAAAATTACTGGTCAAATTGTTGCCATTGCTGCACTTTTAAAGGAAACATGACAAGACTATATGCCTGGTGCTGACAGTCAGCCATCTGGGACACGTGTTGTGGGATGTGTATTGCAAAGGATGATGGGATAGTATCATTACCCCCCTGCTTCTGGCACAAATGCTGTGACCCACCTGTGGTGCAGTTCCTTCCTGTCCAGCCAGGGGCGCACCTGCACGCTCCGTTGAAGCTGTGACATGCGGCCCCGTTATAACACTGGCAGCGCTCCGCACAGAACCGCCCGAACCGCCCGATGGGACACGCTGGAGAAGGAGGGAATCAGTTTGATATCTTACTGCCCAGTAATGTGATGTACGATCAAATTTGCTGCAATTCTATGTGTGACCTCGCTCTTGCCGCGCAACGCCAACTTGTGGCAGCCAGGTGTCGATTTCAATACGCCTTAGGGAGACACACAGGAAAACAAACACATTAAAACCTCTGAAAAGGTTATTCTTACCTTCCACTATGACCTCAATGGGGAACTTTTGATTCTGATCTTTCACCTCACACACAATCTCATTCAGCCAAGAATTCTCCATTCCGACCTAAAAAACGATGCAAAAATACATGTTTCTGTGAAATTATACGATTTTTCGACAAGCACGCTTTGCTAAATGTAAATTGACCTGTATGACTATGACTACCGGTCAGAGGTCAGCAAATCCAAGATGGTGCCTTAAAGAGAAGCTTCGTTCAAAGAGGTTTGCATCCAAGTCAATCGTACGTGAAGGTGGGCCCCGAGGTCCATACTTTCCTTCAGAGATTACTTAGGTAGGACTAAGAGTCTTTTATTTCTTTTCGCTGTGTTAGATCCAAACTTACGATGGATGCTTCCATCCAAACTTACGCACCGCCCTCCTCCGACCCAGTACTTGTTCTGTAGGGTATGGTTTGCTTTTAGTTTATTGAAAACTCTTCTGACATGAGGTGGGCAAAGATGCCCTGATTTTAATTTGGGACCACCAATCATCACAGGAGACGGGAGTCGTTATAGACTTCTAGCGTCACGTGTCTATAGGGTCAGGTCACCCAGGAGGTAAAGGTAATAGAGACGAACAAATTATTTATGAATTTTCCTTTTTGGAAAAGATGTAACCGTTAAATTTAAGCTGATGTAAATCATGCTTTTTTTTACCTTTACGTTTAAATACGTGTACTTCATAACCGCTACATTGTCTTCCCATATCTCGTAAAAGTAGAAGGGAATCCACGGCCAGTCTTCGTAAGGGAAGGGCCTGCAGACAGGAGAAAAATTGTCAAACATTAGTTGTTATATGTACATGTATATGAATCATACATTGCAGCACACTAACATGGCCACTTACATCAGGGCCCATCACCCTTCATTGAACCGCGACGGGGGCCGATATCGTCTACCAGATACCTTTGACCCAGTGTTGACGTCACACTTCAAAGAAGCCACATGACAAGCTTCACTGAATCAGTCTACTGAGGAAGACCAGAGTGACTGGTCGAAAGCTCTAGGTGAGAGAACTTTTTGTGTTGGATTTAAAGTTATAACTTTAAACATATTATATAAGGTTCGAATGAAAGCTCATCTGTGTTGGTAGAATCCATAGTTAAAGAGTTTGACTTGTTCCAACACAAAAAGGAAACTCACCATAAATTTTCGGCTGATCCCGTCAACCTTCGTCAGATTTGTGATTCAGTTGCTGACTTTCCTGAAGTCGGAAACGTGATGACGTCAGGAGTGCATCAAAAGTGGCGGGAAGACGGTATCTCCCACCATCACGGTTCAGAGAGGGTTGGTGGGCCCTGATGTAAACTGCCTCCTTTACGCCTCTCACAAAGTAATCCTGCTCCGTATCTAGAATGCGCACCTTGTCCAATGTAACTGTATGTCCGGGGGACTCGATGTGTATGTGTTGCGACACTTCCGATGTGTTTGAACTAGGGCGCCTGTGTTCCAAAAATCTAGTCTTGAGAGACCGTTCTGTTTCCCCTATGTATGTCTCTGGGCAAGGTCCTCTGATATTTTAACCTGCGCACCGAATGTGGTAAATCACGCCACACTTTTGTTCTTTGGGGGTTCTGTCTTTGGGGGCCACTAATAGCTGTCAAACGTACGGGTCGGTTTGAAACACGTTTTTAAGCCATGTGTCCCGAAGATTCTCCGTAAAGCTTCAGAGGTGTTCTTAACATAGGGTAGGACGACTAAACCTCTGTTCTGCCTCGTAGGCGCCCTAGTTCAAACACATCGGAAGTGTCGCAACACATACACATCGAGTCCCCCGGACATACAGTTACATTGGACAAGGTGCGCATTCTAGATACGGAGCAGGATTACTTTGTGAGAGGCGTGAAGGAGGCAGTTTACATCAGGGCCCACCAACCCTCTCTGAACCGTGATGGTGGGAGATACCGTCTTCCCGCCACTTTTGATGCACTCCTGACGTCATCACGTTTCCGACTTCCGGAAAGTCAGCGACTGCATCACAAATCTGACGAAGGTTGACGGGATCAGCCGAAAATTTATGGTGAGTTTCCTTTTTGTGTTGGAACAAGTCAAACTCTTTAACAATATTATATAAGGTGTTGCCCATAGAACACCATTGACCACCTCTTCTAAATGGCTTCCTTCGATAGGTATTTACCATTGTAAATTTTTAATACCTATATTTAAAAACAGCGTGAGTATCTTACTTGTTTTCACTGTTTAATAACACCTGACCGAGGGCCTTAACTTCGCTGTGGGTTGCATTACATTGGTAGCGCATGTCTGGAGTCAGGTCAAAGTTAAGAACACCCTCCTGGATAGCGAGGTAGAACTCCAAAATATCTGAAACAGCAAAGCATAACAATACTGGTTTTATAACTATGTTGTATACATACAAGTTTACATTGATTGATTGTTGAATCGGTTGGTTGATTAATTTAAAATTAAAAAAAAAACGGATTCTCTATGTGTCAACCATCCCTCCATAGAGACGGGGGTGCCACAAACTATGATCTACTGATCTATCTCAAGTATTTATCTATAATATGTGTGCGTGTGTGTGTGTGTGAGTGAGTGAGTGTGTGTGTGAGTGTGTGTGTGTGTGAGTGAGTTTGATGTGTGTGGGGGTGCATGCATGTGTGTGTGTGTGTGTGTGTAAATATGTGTGTATGTGTGCTGCAGTGCCACTCACCGCCGCCAGTAGTAGATTTGCTTGTCTTGTAGCCGTACGGATAAATACCTGATTGGGCAAAAATTAATACACCAGCTTTGAGTCGCACGAACTCCTGAAAAAAAGGAAGCAAAAATTTTACGTAAGGTTTTCGACTTCAGATGGCATTTTACTGTTGGATATAATTGGCGTCGGTGTGACCACATTTAGTGTATTGCTCCAAGGTCAATTTGTAGCTTTATAATGTTTACTTGAAAGAGTTCTTTAACATGTAAAATTTCTTACCGCAGCTGTTTTCTCATTAAAGTCCTCCTCTGTTTGCGGGACGAAAGTGTTTTCATCGAAGACTGGCTCATCTTCTGAAGAAGAAAAGACGACGAATTAAACCTCAGCCGAACGCTGAGAAAAAAAATCATAACAAAAACTGCAAAAATAATTATGTGTTATGTTTCGATGAAGGTTAGACATTCATGTAATACGATACGCCAAAAAGCAGTTACTCAAGCAACTGGATATGATTTTGGAAACGGTCAGACGTTTCAGCTAGTATCCACTAGCTTTCGTCAGTGACGGAGATGTGTTATGTGTTTGATCTTGTTGTTTATCTTTCTATTTAAGTACTTTAAGGCTCACCAATTTCTCTGGTAGTGAACGTCAGGTAGAATTCGTCCTGCTTCACCCACTGAGGCGTGCTCGGGCTGCGTGTCAGAATCACGTGTAGCTGGTGCCCCGTACTGGCCGCGGACAGGTGGTAGGGCGCGGCCGAGAAAGGTCCTGGATCTACAACAGGATTGACAAAAAACACCAAGCATTTAAAGTTGACTTATAGGAATACAGGGTGAGTCTTCTACACTTTTCTGTTAAAACACGGTGTCAGTCTGTGTTTATTTTCTATGTCAGATTTTGTGCAAGAATAAGAAAGAACCGACAATGATCTTCGACAACATTTCTGATAATGAACTATGACAGCCCCTATGGCAGTTAGTCTTGCAAGACCATCTGTGCAAAACAGCTGAATCTAGTACCTGGCATCTGCGAAAGCCATTGGAAATCCCTTGAAAAGCCAACATCATTATATTATTTTTATTTATTTATTATTTATGACATAACAGGTGACTATCACCTTTCCAAAGATGTCAACCCCGAGACCAGACTGTAAGGTTTGAACCACTCACACCGGGAAGGTCCCCAACTCTTTTCGATAAGTGCGGTGGGTTCTTTAACGTGCGTGGGGTGTAGCTCTCCCAAACACGGGACCTCCATTTAATGTCCTATCCGAGGGACGTCCCTAGCCGAAGCTAAGTACTCATTTTCACCTGAGATAAGTGAGGAAAGTCGTGTAAAGTACCTTTCCCAAGGGGCGCATGTTCGGACTTGTTCGCGGGTACGACCCGGAATCGAACCCGGGTCTCCCAGTTTCATAGTCCAGTGATGTACCACTACACCACACGACGCCACTTTTCTGCGGCCTTCAGTCTTTTAGATAGAAGCCATTCGGCTTATTCCTCCTGTGGGTGTCCTCGGCACGACAAGCGTGTAGAAATAACTACGGATCACAAGCAAAGACACAAACAGGAAATACCGAAAATATAACATCCTTATTCAGCTATGAAATTTTAGAAATGCTACTAATATGCGTACCTCTAGGAATACGACAGAACGTATCGATGACCCTGCTGTTCGCTGATCCTCCGTCGTAAAATGTCAGAACCTCGGTTTGGCAGCCGTCAGAACCGCGCTCGAAAAGTCCGCGGTCAAAATTGATCTGAAATGAGGAACCAACAAGAGATACTGTAGGTGAGGTTATACTTTATTTTATAAAAATTAGGAAGAAATGACATAAAAGGTAACTATCAATGTAACTATATGTTTTGTTCAATTTGACATGTTTCTGATAGTCTAATGTTTACTCAATGCATTACTATAGTTAGTTCGTTCGTCGTGTTAACTCTATATTATTTTGTATCTATTTTAGATTAATTTGTTTGTTTCGTTGTCACTTATTTACAATACACGTGTGTAAAAAGAGGTCATAAAAACAATTGGATTTTAGGAGAACCCACTCGATAAACCCTTAGGTTTCCTGGGATCTCCCCGCACATTTGGTTGTACATATTCATTACATACTGTTTTTATTTTCATGTGCAAACTGGCAATAAATAAATTTAAAAAAAAAAACAGGGAGGCCTGACTGTAAACTTTGATCCACTCACACCTGTTCTTTTCAAAAGTGGCGTTTTTTTCGTAAGGAAGTTAAACTTAATGTTTACCTTCGGACATGGTCTGCCCTTTAATTCTTACTCAAACACATCCACATACATGTACTACTAGTATATGGTGACAGGAGCAGAGCAGACCATGAAATTGCAACATTATGTAACCCAACATCAGTCACCATGGTGACAGACGTCAACAAATCATGTCATTGTCCAGGTCAGAGGTTAGTGTTTGGAACAGAAGCGGAAGAAGAAACTCGGTAAACATAAATAGTCACCAAGATGATCCTGTTTCGAGCAGTAGTAATGTCCCACTCGCAGTGGTCTGACGTCACATCCGTTCCACTAGTTATATTGCCTCCGTTTCCGGTCAGCTGATGTGTACATCCTAATAAGGAAAACAAATTTGTGCTTGTCATCAGGTTAAAACGAGAGAAGTCTTAATTCATAATCAGTCCCGGGCTCACGGGATAGCCCTTAGTAATAATAGGGGGCCCGCAAGCCCTTTTCTGTAGAGCGTAATCGACCGTTTTAATTCTACGTAGAGCGTAGACGGACCGCTCTAATATTTTTGCGTAGAGCGTATTCGGCGTTTTAATTCTACGTAATGCGTTGCAGCCACTTGGAATTTAATCGAGAGGTTTCCGAATTCAGCGTAGAGCGTTGTCGGGACTCCCCCCCCCCTTGCAGGCCCTCATAATAGGCTGACTCGGTAGCATGTAATGTTTACCGAACTAATCAAAACTTCCCATAGCATTTTCGGGCTGTAGGGGCAGTGGGTTGTTAATCCACTGTGTCTAGTGCTCGGTATTAGAAGGCAGAGTCCATCCCTCTCCTTCCACTGCCTTTTATCTTACTGAACTAAGCTAAACTGGATAAAAACGATTAGGTAATTTAAAAGAATACTGCTCACCTCCAAGTGCAGGGCGGCAGATCTCGAGACAGAAGAGGAGAAATACTCCAACATGAACAGCCGAGGTCACGGTCATTTTAAGAGGAAGTCTTCCGGAACTTTCCTAAAACACAACAGATTCAAAAGGTTCACAAAAAATTGAAAAGAAAACAGTGGCAGAGATACCACAGAAACTAGTCACTAAGGACCCAATCACATTCGTCGCACGATAGAGTATGTTTACCACACAACTTCGGGGCGGTCTTGGGATGGTCGTGGGATAGTCGTGGGACGGTCGTGGGATGGTCGTGGATGTGTGTCAAACAAAATTCAGCCGTCTTGTGGCGTAAACGTTATAATGAATCTTCGTCGACGGTCGGGGTCCGTTAAAACCTTGCTAAAAGACCCAACTACAAAACAAAATAGTACGTGCACGTCGAATGTAACTAGCCGTCGAGTTGCCCCAGCTAGGGGAAGAAACTACTTATCACAGCCCCCTCCCCCCCTCCCTCCGATAAAGTATGCTACCCACATTGTTAAAAAGCCCTGCCGTTATGTAGTACATACCAGATACACCTGAGCTGTAGAAGGGTAGAAATCAGACTGAAGAGGGCCCAGTCTTAACCACATCTGATTCGTTGAGGAAGTGAAAAACATTGACCCGATCACCACTAATAAAACGCTGTTTAAAGAGGAGACTAATAATTAACTAAGTAACGGCTCTATTGTTGACTCAGTAATCTACCTGAACGTGATGTGTATATATAAGTATTACGATGTTGCCAGGCGCACGTACATGTAAGACCGGGGCAGACACAGTCAGTACCTGGGTGAGTACAGAACAACCCTGGAAGCTAAAAACTAGTGCAGTGATCAAAAGGACGTATTGCTGCCGAAAGTGCCCGTTCAGAGCTCGCTGACAGCTATTTTTCTGCTGCTTAAACCTGACTTCCATAAACTGACGAAATGTTATTAGTTGTAGTTCTCTTCATATGCAATATTCTTGAATGAAAATGCACTACGTATAGTGCTGTGTTTGTATGCTCACCACTAAAAGTATCAAGGACTGATACGAGGAATTTTGAGGAAGTTAAGATTAAGAATGATTCTTTTATATGCTGCTGAAAATACACCGGGAGCTTTCAATTTGGCAGGTTGTTTTCAAGTTGCTTTAAAATGGTTCACACATTTCCTTAACTTAATTTCCTTCCTCTTTTCTTTAATTTTGTCATCACTCAGCTTTCCGCGAGAACATTTGACTTTCCAATCAGATTGTGCAAACAGAAGTGTCAGACATAACGACGCCTGAGAAATGAACTGAGTAACAGGATATAGAACCGGGGAACCCCCGGTCCAACACCGTACCACAGCCAGGGTAAACAAACACCTATTTACTGCATTCACATCACAGCTAGATTACCTGTTACCAGGCACAGCTCGCCATGGAGGGCTCCACCAGACTGACTACTCTTCTGTTTAATATCAATATCATGTTGAACAAGATCTGAATTGATCTGTCCAATATCTGTCTTCACACTATAAATAAATAAATAAATAAAAAAAAATATATATATATATATATATATATATATATATATATATATATAGAGAGAGAGAGAGAGAGAGAGAGAGAGAGAG